AATATGAGACAAATGTAATATTGAGTATTGACTCGTATTTTACTTTTCCACTTGTGACATGTAAATTAACTAATTTGGATGTTCGATCATATATAATTTTCCCAAAAGAAAAAAGAAGAGACATAGTGTTTGTTTGGTACGAAGGAAATATTTTTTTGAATATTTTTATTTTTTTAATATTTGGTTAGTTTAAATATTTTGAAAAATATTTTTCTCATGACCTTGGAGGAAAACAACTTCGCTACGAAAAGAAAGATAAGTATTTTCCAAAATTATTTTTCAATCTTCCTTAGTAGACTCTGACCTACCACCCTCTCCTGTTCTTGCACATTTCGTCTTTCATATTTTCTGCCTAAATTATATATTTTTTAAAATATTTTTTACTACCTAACCAAACAACATAAATAAATAAAAAAATCTTTTATTTTTCGAGAAAATATTTTCACCCATAGCCATCAACTTTTATATATTGATAGTTTAAAAAAGTTCATAACTATCAAACTCATTTGAAAGATACTTATATTTAATTGTTCAAGAAAATGTCATTAATAAGGCAGAAAATAAGAAAAAGTTATTTGCTATACATTATTAAAGTATGTAAATTGAAAAAAAAATCATTCTGTCATCATATTTATTCCCATGATACACACTATACGTATTCCTAAAAAGTCATTTATCTTTCACATCTCAGAAGAGAAGTAAGTGGTTAAGTGCTACTATAACTATAATACAACATTTAATGAAGGTTAGTTTAGTCACATTAACTATTTTCGTTTAGAATTTAATATTTTATTAATAGATGTGTCCAAAGTAAATTGAACAATTATTATGGACCGGAGCGCAATTATATTAAAATGATTTTCCGCCAATGCAATTCTTGCCTACAGTCCCACTTCCTGGGTTCTGCCGGTTGCCCGCGGTGGCGCCTCGTTAAATTTCAAGGTCATGAATTAAGACCAATTTTAGGACAATTTGGTCCTTTGGAACTTTCCTACTCCACATAAAATTCGGTATCTAATTTGACGATTCCTCAAATTTGGCTCTGGAAATTTTTGTAAGCTCCACCTGGTGACAGTTCAGGCTTGACCTAGTAAACCTAGTTGCAGGTTCGTCTTCTTAATTGAAATTTTGATTTTCATATCCATCTTTGAGCTTTAATTTGTAAATCATTGTTTAATTATATAATTATTCTCAAATGGATTAATCAGGGTGAGCATAGTTTGGTAAAAATATCATTTTCCGGTGGTTCCTCTCCGTCGACCAGCTGGCGTTGATTTTGGCCGCCTTTATTCCGTCAATTGAGATCTAACTCAGCTCCGTCAAAGATCTCTTGCTTTCAAACCGGCCTTTGCAAAGTCGACAAAGCAAAGGTTATTTTCATCAAATAAGTGTACGTTTTTTTCTGAATGAACCTTATCGGTTCGAGAAATTCAGGTTTTTTTAGTTTCTGCTGTTTTGATTCTAGTGTAAATCATAATTAGGGACAAAAATGGAAAGAACTATAGATATTATCCCAAGTTAGACGATGCTGATTGCTGATCTTTTTGATTTAATGATGATTTTAACAGAGCCATTTATTAAATTTCATTCGATTAAATTGTTATGCTATTAGGTGTATGCTATCTTCCATCAGCTGAGGTACCGTGTAATTTCGTACAGGATCTTAGACTGTCCTCTCTGTTAGGATTGGAACCTTGGTCTCCAACTATTTGACCAGTAGGGAACCCTGTTGGGAGCATCAATTCAATTGTTTCTTTTTCTCCCTAGTCCAACAAAGACTTTTTGCTTTCTTTCAGTTAGAATGTTCATTTTGGTAACCGGTGATTTCTGAGGAGAAGTTTTAAAGTTTTAACTGACTGTGTCTGAAGAATGTCTCCCAGTTTAACAGTTGATGTGGTCTACCTGGTTCAGAGGATTAATCATTACTAAACATGTTTTATATTGGCAACTTACTGCATCCCTCCTATTCCAGGCTTATATAGTATAAAATAGCCTAAAGAGACAGTCTATGGAATTTGGAAGCATGCATGGATACACAGATAAGTTATACTTAATAGCTAATGCTGGATCACAGAAGTTCTTTGCTAATGGCCTAGCTTTGGGAATTTTAGGGGTTTATGCATCTATATGATTCATTTCTTAGTCCTTAGTGGTTTTATTGATATGGTGCTGTATAATTAACCATGTGGTAGTAATAAATGGGAGGTAACTTGATTAACCTCAAGGGAAAGGGTGAAGAACACTTCAATAGATGAGGAACCTTTATTTGTGAACTAAAGATTTAAATATGATATTCCGTTGTACCTTATAAAAAAAATGATATTCCATTGTCAAGGCTTAGTGCATTGATCTGACATCTAGAGTTGAGTTGCTTTTTAATTAACTTTCACATCCACCTGAGCCGAGGGTCTCTCGGCAACAACCTCTTTATCTGGCAAGGTAGGGGTAAGGTCTGTGTACACATTACCCTCCCAGACCCCACTTGTGGGAATATACTGGGTATGTTGTTGTTGTTGTAATTCTTTTCAAAAAATTATTTGTAAGATGAGAAATGGGAATGCTTAAATGGGAGTACATTGTTTGCTTGTTTTTCCTCTACATCAGTGCCATGCTCCTCCCTCTCCGTGAACAGCAGACAGATACTGTCACTCTATAATTATAGAAGTGATGGTGTTTCACATGTGCATTGATGGTTAGCTATGGGTGGTCGTTATCTTATTTTTCTTCTGCCCATTTTTGAAGCAGTATTGGAGCATAGAAGTAGAAATCTAGTGACTTCCAACAGCTCAGCATGCCGAAAGATAGAAGGGTGAATTCCTCATCCTTCAACGGGGCAAGGGCATCTCCTTATGCTTGTAGCTCAAAGAATACTGAGCAAGAGTTAAAGAGTTCCTTGCCACCAGTAGGGAATGAAAGAGAATGGGAAGAAGCTAGGTGCCCTATTTGTATGGAGCATCCGCACAATTGTGTCCTTCTACTTTGTTCATCACGGGATAAGGGTTGTCTGCCTTACATGTGTGACACAAGTTACCGTCATTCTAATTGTCTAGATCAATTTTGTAAATTATCATCTGGAACACAATCAGAAGCTCAACAAGAGGGAAGTACTATATCAGGGACGATATTCCACAGGGCAAGTCAGGGACAACCTTTGTCAAGAACAACCTGGTTTACTGGGGGACAGCAACCAGAGCTTGTCTGCCCACTTTGCCGGGGACAGATTAAAGGATGGATTGTTGTAGAGGCAGCTCGTAAATTCATGAATTCCAAACAGAGGAGTTGTTCCTTGGAGACGTGCAATTTCAATGGCAATTATGGTGAGCTAAGAAAGCATGCAAGGCTTCAGCATCCCTCTGACAGGCCCGCCAAGGCTGACCCTCAACGACAGTATGATTGGAGAAGGTTGGAGCTTCAAAGAGACTTTGGGGATACTCTCAGTGCATATCAGACGCCATTTGGTGATGACTTTGCTGGAGATGACCTCCTAACTGAGCTGCCTCTTGATGGTGGTTTATTTGATCTCCTAGATGGGTACTCCGAGGCCGAAGATGGATTGAGTGAAGATGGCAACTTGTTACTGGATCTTGAATTTGAGCTCCCCTTTTCTTTCCTGAATGACTTTCCATTTTTGCCTTTGACAGTGGATGAGTTTTCTGAGTTTGATGGTGGGAGGAGCCCTACTCGATCACGGACTAGTGCTAGATCCGAAAACAGGAGAGATTGGAGGTCAACTTCGTCAGATAATCAGGAGGAAAGACCAGCAACTACAAGAGACACAAATAGGTCATCGAGGCATATGCCTAGCTCCTTCTTCTTCAGGCATTAAACTAATGAATCAATGCTTGTTTCTAATTGTACTGCATAGCTTTGCGTCCCAGGTTGAAGTTCTTCGGTTTTCTGGTTTATCTTCGTTACTGAATGAAGGAATTTCCACTCAATTCTGTTAGTTGTATTTTCTACTGAACATTGTCGTTCATTTTCTTCATTTCTTTTCCCTCTGACTTTGCTGCTTTAAAGAACACGAATAGTCTACCCACGAAATTATTATCAGTTCTGTTTACTAGCTGAATTTATGAAATATGAAGTGTTTTCTCCAGATTAAAAGAAAAAACGAAGTGTCTTCTCCAGATAAAATTGAAATAAAGAGAGAGGCTTAAATACTGATTGACAGTATTAACTTGTGCACGTTTGCAACGTCAGGCTCTTAACTTAGACCAGTTAAAACTCTTCACATAATTTTTTATGTTAGCAAAACTCGTTAATGTTTTCCTCAAGTCCTTTCTGAGAGCAAAACGTGTCACGTTTAGATTCACTAGTTATTTCTCTCTCCGGTCCCCTAACTCCTAATTTTTTTTTAGGTATTTTAACTAAATTATCCAAAAATAAAATTTGCATATCGTTAACTTGACACATTGGGATATGTAAATAAAGACAAATTTTGGAAAAACAAAATTAATTCCTCTTGATTACTCCCTTCGGTCCACAATAAGTGACCAATTGATCACTTATTGTGAACCGGAGAGATGAAATACTTGCACCACAAAGATATTTAAAGTCATTCCATAAAAGCGCTTGTAACCATCAACTTCTGAACTAACTCGCATAAAAAAACAAAAAAAAAAACAAAAGAGAACAATGAAATAGAGTACATATTTTGTAGCATGTCAAATTTTGCAGAATATCACATTGTAACTTATAAACAAGGGGGTGAGATCACCTCGAGTAAAGTTTTGTCCAATTTTTTAATTAGGACTTTAGATAGTTGTCACATGTACTATAAGAATTTTAATGGTGTTATTTATTTAACCTACTCAAATACTAACTATAGTATAAGACGTGGGTTAATTAAATACCCAGTATTTTAAACTAGAGAATATTTTTCCATGGCATAAAGAAGTCAAAGGATTTGTTTTGTATTTACCGTGTTTTTCTCCTCCTTACTTTTCCTTCTTAAAATTATAAATATACGAACACTTCATTAAATTTATTTATTTATTTATTTTTTTAAAAAAGAGAGAGAGTGGATAAGTGTAACACTTCAAGGGCAGAATTGGTAACAAAATAATTTTTCGCCTGAAGAAGGGTTCAGAGGTACAAAATTTACGAAGCCTAACCCCAAAGCACTGTAATCTTCTCTTCTTTGACTGGTAATTACCCCCCTCTATTCGTATTCGCGCTTCTCTATTTTCTTATCATTTCCTTGTCAGATTTCTAAAGGCGCCGGTGTTCAGTAACGATTGATTCATTTTTTTTTTCCAATTAATTGTTCAATTTTGAATGCTCGCTTAGATTCTTTCTGAACTGTGGATGGGTTTATTGGCTGAAAAAATCAAAATGCAACCTTTTTATTGTTTGCTGAAATGGGTATGTGAATTTGGTTCACTTTCCTCTGCTTATAGGTGTTCGACGAATTGCCTCTACGAATTTGGCGTTGATATAGTATTGTATCTCTACCGAAATTTGAAATAGAAACATATTTCTAGATTAAAAATCTCGGATCAGATATTATATTGAACTTCTTGTTATGCTTTAATATGAGTTCTTGGGCCCTAGAGATGGGATGTCTTTGATAACTCCATTTTTATATTAGTCTTTGCAAATACAAAAATGCGTCAATCCTGTGGAACTTATTCATGCTAGTACTATTTTAAATTAGTGTCTAGCTGAATTTTTTTTTGGATAGTTTAGCTTCATTGGTCTCGTAAGGCTGTAGTATGCGTTGTAGTTCAGGTTTTTCACTAGGTTACTGAGGGGTCGTTTGGTAGGAGGTATTAGAAAAAATAATGCAAGCATTAGCTCTATGCATTACTAATATCTTGCTTGGCACATTTTTTCAACATGTGTATAACTAATCCCATACTTGGTATTATCCTATACATTAGTAATGCATAGAAAACCATGGCATTAGTAATACCAAGGCTATTAATGCATGCATTAGTATGTTTAAAGACAAAATTGTCCTTAAAGTCATTTAAAGCTAGAGAATATGGAGGACATTTTTGTAAACAACTATTTTTCTTAAAAATTATGCAATGCATTATAATTTTAATACACCACACCAAACAGTAGATAAGAAATAATATATGCACAACTAATGCTTGCATTACTAATACATGCATTACTAATACACCTTATTCCGCATTATTCTTATACATCCTACCAAACCACCCCTGAGAGTGTGAAGCACTAAGAACTGATTTGTGATTTTTCTTATTTCACTTACTGCAGCTGAAAGAGTTTGAGCAAACTTTGGTTCTGAAATTATGGCAAGATCATTATCTCAAATGCTGTTGAAGCGTTTTGCAGCCTATCCACTTGCTCGTTCATCTACTATTGTGAGAATGATACTACTATCTTCCTGCTTGTGCTTATTGTTAAGAATGTGTCAACAAATGCCTTTTTTCTACTGGTTTGTCCGACATGCAAAATAAAAAATTGAGCTTAATATGAAGAGTTCCTTACCTTTTTTCTTTCGTCTGAACTTTGTGCACCCCATTGCTCTGTGCTCGATAGACACTATAGTTTATTCTTACAAGCTAAATACAATCTGAGATGCATGTTGCATCTGTAAAGTTTCTATTATAAACTATGAGCTTTGCTAGAATCCCTTATCATCAGGAAAAAAAAACATTTGCTTGAATCCCATCTACCATATGTCGCCATTTGGCATCTACTCATGAAATTTGGGGCATATGCTCAAGTTTGATACTAAAGAGTTTAGCCCGTAGACGGGATAAGACAAAAGTGGATTTTTCAGTCTCTTTCTTACCAAGAGGGATTGCTCTTGGTAAGCAACCCCCACTTCCAACCAAGAGGTTGTGAGTTCGAGTCACCCTAAGAGCAAGGTGTGGAGTTCTTGGTGGGAAGGATGCTGAGGGTTTATTTGGAAACAGCCTCTACCCATGGTAGGGGTAAGGTCTGCGTACACACTACCCTCCCCATACCCCACTAGTGGGATTATACTGGGTTGTTGTTGTTGTTGTTGTTGTTTCTTATATATCTGTTTTAAAAGTATTGTTCTTAACAGCTGTTCCATTTGTGTAATAGACATCCAGATCTATTAATCAGGGGGAAGTGTGGTATTCAACTACTGTGCCTAGTGATCCTGACACTCATGAAGATTTTAGACCCACTAGTAAGCTTGAGAGTTCAGGTCTTTCCCTGGAGAACATTGTTGAGCAGGTATTTTTTGTCACTATCGGTACATTTTCTGCTTGGGTGGCAAGTAAAAGCACTGTTGTATTCAATCTTTGAATATAGATATGGTGTTACCCCTTTGGCTTATAAGCTGTTCTTTTAAGTTTTTAGATTTAGCTATTCTGTCATCCTTCTACTGTAGGATGTCAAGGAAAATCCTGTGATGATATACATGAAAGGTGTGCCAGAGCTTCCTAGATGTGGATTCAGCTCATTGGCTGTCAGAGTGCTGAAAGAATATAGTAAGTCCAAGTAGTCTCTGAAGGGGAATTTCTCTTCTGGCTTTATTGTCTCTTCTTATTGATTTTTGCATCTTTTTGACTTGCAAGGCATAGGTTTATGGTAGAGGTCCATGCCTTAAATAGTATTCATCTTCTTACCAATTGATGTGGTCTTTGCAGGCGTTCCTATAAGTGCCAGAAATATCTTAGAAGATCCCGAGCTTAAGAATGCTGTAAAAGCCTTCAGGTATTTTTGACGCTAAATGGTCTACGGTTGTGAAATTTTGTTTATTAATGGATTTGTAATTGCAATTTTTTCAAGGGATGGATACCAACATCTAGATGTTAGGTGGCTATCTTTCTCCCTCTACTGTGATCTATGTAATATCGTTTAACATTAAGCACATCCTTGTGAGATCTGTGCTGAGCTGGGATATCAGCTACCATGTTATATCGTAGTAAACTTTGGAAATGAGATTACTGGTTTGTCCATAAAGTCAGATGATCTTTTGAGGGAGGATTTGGGGTTGAGGCAATTCATATCGTTGTCTACTTGCATTTGGTAACTACTTGCATAATGACAAAAACAAATTAAGTTGTAAATGGAGCTCTTTGAACTTATGATAATCAGCTGCGATCATCAGTTCTCTTCTTCTGAGTTCTGACTTCTTCTAGGTTCTTACTGTTCTTAGTTGGTCAGAGTGATGCATGTATTTCAGGACTTGAATTTAAAGTAGGAATATCTAGCCTCTATCTTAAGGAGATGTATCTGGTAAATCAATTTTAAACTAGTAATGTTGCAGGGTATTGTTTATGCAGTGATTGTGAGATTAATAAATTGTGAGCTCTGTATTTAATCCAAAGTAGTTGCATTAAGACAAGTTGTTTCACTTCAGAAGGTGCAATGTATCTAGATGCTTGCTCAAGGACTCATAATCTCTGTATATATTGCAGCCACTGGCCCACATTTCCACAAATATTCATCAACGGGGAGTTTATTGGTGGATCGGATATCATCCTGAATATGCACCAGGTAATTTCACTTGTTTATGTGAATCTAGTTAGGCCGGGTAAAAGAAACATGCTCAACAATTTTTTTCATGCAGAGTGGTGAACTCAAGGAAAAGCTGAAAACTATCGCAGCCAACCAGGGGAAAGCAGAATGAGATATATTATTGCAGAGAATAGAATAGTTCTACCAATGTTTGAACTGTTGTAATACTTCAAGCACTAAGTTTGATAGTCTTTAGGCTTGCGAGCTGTAATAAAATAAGCACTTGATTCCATTTGTCATATTTTTGTGGAAACGATGAATTGTCTCTACTTGTTTAAATTGTTCCAGTTCAATGTTTTTTGCTTGAAAGTATTCCTAGTCTCTATAACTTGCATGTGAGATACACCGTTGACATATGCGGGCGCCAAGTATGACAATACAGGAGTTACTTACAGAAGTTGATTTTTCTGCTAGCCTTATGTTGGCAAAAAGAATCCTAAAATATTGGTTGGCTCTTCCTGTAGTCCACAAGCTCCACCCAACAACTCTTAGTAGAAAATCAGCTGCCTTGTAATAATTTGAGCCATCTAATTTCTAATAAAATTCTGCACTATGTTTACCAGGAAAACTCTGGCCTGTGAGCCAAAAGTTGGAGCTTACACCAAACTTTGCAAACTCAGTAGAAATGGACGAAGAAATTGCTTTAGTTTATCAGAGAGAATGGCTTGAGAATTGTGGATGAGACTACTGGGATTTAGAAAATCATTAGTTAGCTGGAAATAGATGAAGCTTTTAGCTAAACATGTGTGTGTGTCTATACAGTTCGGACATGCTTGCTTGGAGCTGAGGATCTACCAGAAACAGCCTCTCTACTTGCATAAGGTTAAGACTGCGCACAGTGGCGAAGCTAGAAATTTCCCCAAGGGTGTTCAAATTTAAAAGAAGTGAAAAAACATTTCGACAAAGGGTGTTCAATATGTGTTATATACCTCTAAAACATAATATTTTACCTCTATACAGTATAATTTTTCGACGACCCTTCTAACCATGTGGCTTCGCCACTGACTGCGCACATAATACCCACCTTAGACTCCCTATTTGTGGGATACACTGGGTTTGTTGTTGTTGTTGCGCGCGCGTGTGCGTGTGAGAGAGAGAGAGAGACAGAGAGAGAGAGCATACACAATAGGCATAATATCCATTAATATTGATACATCATGGTACAATGACTCCAAAATTATGAGAGGAATTGGAAAAAAAGAATATCCAGGTGGTGTCTACAAGTGATGAAAAGAGAAACACATCAAAAACTTTATTTTGCAGCACATTATCGAGTCAAAACTGGAAGTCTAAGGTCCTAGAATTCACCATACGCATAATTAACTACATAAAAACTGTGTGCATTCCCATATTATTGCTTCTTCATGCATTTGCCCTCACTCATTCACTACTTCAATCATGAAACTCTTGACTTAGTTTATCATCGGCAACCCTCAAGTTCAAGTCTTGCACTTAACCAATTACAGACCTCATCCATTTCCTTTGGCACTGTGTAATGACCAAGCCTGCAGAAAAAGATGGTAATTTAAGAAAACAATACTTCCCTTAAACCATGAGTACTACAGTTTTGCAAAGAAAGAAAAAGGAAAATGAAGGATACCCATCATATTTTTTGAATGCAAGATTCCTGTATCCAGCTGAGCTCAAGACATGAGTAGACCTCTCTCCATATACGTAAGGAACTACTTCATCGCCTATAAATAACAAACAGAAGGGTCTTAATGGTTATGCAGATCGTGCAAACTGCACTACGTTACTAATAGTCTAGAGTTTGTGCGCAGTAAACACAAGAGCCCCTCCTTGGAACAAGGTCAAGATAATTCATAAGAGAATTTCAAGGAGCAATTTAGTACCGCGTAGGTAAATAAGCAGAATGAACTAAGAATTGGAAAAATAAGTTTAATCATACTAGTCTGGTTTTCTGCTCAAGAATTTTGTTATATTCTTCAATGCAATATACTCCCATATAATAGCAATCTAGAAGCTCTCTTCATAATTTTTGTTCATGTGTGGTTTCCTCCCTGAGCCAAGGGTCTACCGGAAACAACCTCTCTGCCTTTTTAAAGGCAGGGGTAAGGTTTGTGTACACTCTACCCTCTCCAGACCCCACTCGTGGGACTACACCGAGTTTGTTGTTGTTATTGTGTGGTTGTGGAGTAATAAAAAGGTCGAGGTACATTTTGACAAATCTGTATTTCAGATCAGAGGTAAGGACCCTTGAGGACTCAAGACGGATGCACTATGTGCTGAAATAGCTAAAAGGTCATAAAACAAATTTTGCAAGGTACATACACATTCCATGACAGAGTAGAATAGGTAAAGATGCAGCACGTCTTGCAGCTTCAAGTGATCCTTCAATCTTGTTCCTCACATTCCTGCACAATTCTAGGCGTTAACTCCTACGTATGTTTGTTGTCTAAGAAGTAGAATAGACTAATAATACTCAAAAATAACCATATAAGTAATCTGTTTTTAACTTTTTCGGTACCTGCCTTTTTATAGCTTTTCATAACAGAAGCTTTAGACAACTAGGGAGCTAATTTGTAAGACTAATATCTTGCACAATTCATAAACATAACTTGTCCAAAAATCTAATGCAGATTGTATTTAATATTATTTCTCGGATATGATATGCAATCACACCTTGAACCTGGAAGCCACCCGCTTAGACCTATGATCGCCTTTAAGATGACCGGATAAGGGTTTCCATTTCCATATTTTCCTTGTGCAAAGCAAGTTGCCGAGTAGAGTGCAGTGGCTGCACCCATGCTGAAGCCTCCAATTCCAAGTTTAACTGGACCAAACGGTTTTAAATTTTTAATCAAATGTATAACACAGACCTAAGAAAACAAGGCTTAAGAAAAACCAATCAACTAGGCATAAATCCAAATCTAGTTGGGGTTAGTCCCCATATCTATTGCACTCTATCTAGCCCATTTCATTCTAATACCTGTAAAACATCTAAGAAATTCTTGCAAAGCAACCCTGACACTCCAGACCTTAGAAAAGAATTAAGCTTAGCGAGAGAAAACTAAGCTGATAATGAAGGATAATATAGAACTTAATTACCATCAACAGGTTCAGTTGATAGTAGGTTCGCGATATGTGCAACTGAAGCATCCAAGCCTTCAAGATCATCAGGACCGTCATCAGAAAGTTCACCCACATCAAACCCTGGAATAACATACAATGGTCCTTTAATGACAGTTATGAAAGTTAACATGTTGATACATTTGGGGTTCATTCTTACATGCAGTGCAAGGAAATCCACCAAGTATAGCTACAGGACGAGTTGGCGCTGTTGGACATATCCATTTGATCTGCAAAGTTTTTAAATTTCAGAAACAATGATTTAGGATGAAGCACAAAATTTAAGGGGTTATGAGCTCACTGCTTACATTAGGAAGGGGCAGGCTTTCCAAAAGTTGGGACCAACTGCAGAAAGAAAAAGGCAATCAGCTAATGCGTTCAGAATATCTCAGGGTGAAATAACAAACATATGAAATAAGAGAGACATGAACAGGCCAGCATCAATGAAGAAGCTTCGATATATATGTTCCATTTGCCTCGCTGATTTTCAGGATAAGAACAATTGATTAAACTTTCTTACTTAACATTTTGAATATCCACCACATATAACCAAGTTAATGAAGTAGTTGCCCCAAAAAAGTAAAGGAGCATGAACACCTTATTTATCCAGTCACTGTTGAGTCTCATTCCAGGAAGGAGAAAGAAAAAAAAAAAAAAATAACATCCTCCCTTATAGAGTATATCAAAGACTTGATACGGGCAACTCGATTCTAAGACAATAGTATGCAAAAATCTTTCTTTTTCTCCATACTAACAGAATAATGTATCTCGCCCACAAAGTCTGTGTGATTTATGATTATAAATTCATAATTGCTTAAAGTGACGCTAAAAATTTGGAGAATCAGGAAAGCACAAAGGTTGCAACAATAACTCGGTCGGATTATGTGTATTCTGATCACTTAAGGCTTATCAATGTTACTTTGTAAAACTGCATTTATGTCAAATTACAGAAACAAAAGCTGGCATATCTAAGCACAAGATATTAACAATTCACCAAATCTTAACTGTAGAGTTCTGGATTAAAAGGAAAATGGAATTTACCTGGAGCCATTATCACCGAGGCCATGCAGCCAGACTATCGTAGCCTGGTGTTTTCCTTTGGGCCTCACTACATATGTCCTCCCAAACTCAAATGTCATTCTAGAAGTTCTACTTCCTGTAATATTGTTTCACTAAGTTATTACTCCACTAGCAAATGCTTGAAGAAACAAATAGCTCAAGTAAAGATTAATATTAGAGAAGGGAGAAAAAGAAATGTTCCCAAATTGATTGTGGCTATTGCAATGTCAAATTGGCTTTACTGAATCAATTGCCATAAGGACATAAGCTACAACAACAGTTACTACTAGCTACTACTACAAAAACAAAGTGGGGTCGGCTACATGAATCCTCACTGCCCATGTCGCTCCATTTATAGCATTTTAACAAGGACATAAGCTATAACAACAATTACTACTAGCTACCACAACAACAACAACAAATTGGGGTCGGCTATATGAATCCTCATTGTCCATGTCGCTCCATTTATAACATTTTAATAAGGACATAAACTAATTATAACATTTTCAAAGAACGAGGGAACCACCCTCAATGCTAAACTAGATGGATATATAGAATCTAAAAGAAATGAAAAGCTTGTACATTGCAACTAACCAGAGCCAGTTGAAGGGTTTAAATAACTCATGATATCCTCCTTCAGAGATGAAATGCAACTTTAGTACACACCCTCAAAGACCAGCTACACCACTGAACTGAGAAATGGTACTGCAATGAAGACAAGCCAAACCAGCAATCCCTATTTATACCCAAAAGAGTAGGTCCAAAATAGAATAAGGCATGTGAATATGCAGAAAATAGAAAAAAACTTAAGTATGTGTGAACCAGCTACACATTGTGCCTAGAAACTGATAAAAAAATATAGGGCATCCATGAAAAGGAGTGGCAAAAGGCAAAGGAAAAAGCAAGCAATCTTTTGAACAGAGGAAAAGAGAAAGAATCAAAACAGAGCACAAAAATTTATCCGTCCATTTTTCCCCCTCAAGTCGAGAAGCAGAGAGCTATAGAATTGCAGCATTTAAAGAGAATCTATACCTGTTGGCACGGCCTTAAATAAAGCAACCTACAGCTAAGAATATTACTGAAAACAAGAAAGAATAACACTACTACCAATTTGGTATTAAAAAAAATATCTATCAATCATTTA